AACTACATAATGTTAGAATTCGTGGGATGTTAAAAAAAATGTTAGAATTCGTGCTTGCTATTTTGTTTGTAGATTTTGCATTTAAATTAAAATTCCTTTGTTGAGAAAAGAAAAAGAACAAATTTTATAGAGAAGCATATATAACATACTGTAGGATGATCTCAACACAAGATAGTTTTGTGGTAAGAAATGACAATACAATTAAAAGTGGTAAGAGATTAGTATACTTTCTATAGTTTTGTAGTAAAAAATTATGTTATGCCAATACCGATAGGGATTATTACGAAAATCTATCATTTGACTCCCAATTTCTTGTGGAAAATACAATTTGTCATAATTGATTAAAAAATTTATTACAAAACATCGGAAGGGGAAAGATGCATCTACCCTTGGTATTAAATGGTGGGAGATTGTGGTACAATTATTTGGTGGACGAGAGTGTAACGCCTGTGAACCAAAAATAGAATTTTTGGGCAGTGCGTCGATCGACACAGTGGTTCGACTTGTGAGAAGTCGCGATTTTGGGTGTTGCGTGGATCGACACAAGGTGTGTGTCGATCGACACAAGTTGAAATTGAACCGGGTTGGTTCGATTTTTATTTGTCGGTTTGGCGTTTGGTTAGCGAAGCCTTAGTGACTATATAAGTCGAAGGGGCCGCGTTTTGGTTACGTTTTTAGCAGAAATCAGAGAGTTTTGAGTGTTCTTGAGAGGATTGAGAGGAATCGAGGGTTTATTGTTGAATTCTTCGCATTCTCGATCCTAGAAGCTCGTTATTTTGATTTGAGAGGCTGTAGGATCGTGTCTGATCCGTGTTCGTGTGAGGAGGAAGAGGATTTTCGGATTCTAGGGATTTTCGGATTCTGCGTTCTTCGCGTTCTTCGCGGTTTTTCCATTCTTTTCCTTCCAGAACTAAGGTGAGTGCGTGACCATGGCTTATCTGGGTAAAGGAATAGATAGGATGCGATTGGTTGCTTTGTTTGGTAGATTTATGCAGGCGAGCGAATCGATGCGATCAGGAATCGATATGTGAGAGGATAGGTTCGATTCCTGGTTTTTGCGTGGTGCGTCGATCGACGCAAAACACAGTGTGTGGCGATCGACACCGAGATTGCGTGTCGATTGACACACTGGGACTGCATCGATCAACACAGGGTGTGTGTGTCGATCGACGCAGGGTTTGTTCTGCTGATTCGCGATTGATTGTTTATGTTATGCGTTGTTGATTGTTCATCCTGGT